ACAAGGAGAAGGGGACGACAGAGGACGAGATGGCTGGACTCTGAAGATCTTAAGCTACACACAGGTACATATGGGAGGAGGAGATCCTTCAGGAAACTTGCCCCCCCCCCAATACTGTTTTAAAAAAAGCAATTTAACCTATTGCATGTATGAATGTGTCAATGTGCACTTTGGTATAAAGTTCACACAATAGAATCTTGATACAATCCTATATACACTGACATCACAATTGCTTCTTTCCCCCTTTTGTTTATTTGTTTGCAATACATTGTTCTTTAACAATGCACAGATGCACACCAGCAATAAAAAGCTATGAAAGAACTTAATTCTGTAGCACATTGTTCACACACAGTGCTATTGTAACAGATTTCAGAAGCCAAAAATATAATCTAATGCATCAGTTCCACTTTGGAAACAAGAGCGTGCACTTCGGAAGCCCAAGCCCAAGGGAGAAATTTGGATGAGAACATTTAGACATGTCAGAGAGTGTTCAGCACTAAGGATTGGGCTAATATGAGGATATTGAGGCCATTCAGATGTTGTTAGATTCCAGCACCTATAAATGCTGGCAAGCACAGCCAGTTGTCAGTGCTGATGAGAGTTGTAGCACAGGGTTGCCCTGGTCTAATGCTTGAACCTTGACACCGCCCATTCTACCTGCCTGTTCTTGCTGAAACGCACATTTGAGATGAAAAACAATGTTCATGCACAGGAAGAAAGAAACATTCACATCTCTAGATGATAGTCCTAAAAGAGCTACTTCTTAAGGTACTATTCCCCTTTATTCAGCTGTGATTCTGTACAGGGCAGCCGTTCTCCAATTTTTAAAACATACCTCCTATGTTTGCTCTTCCTTGCCCTGCCTCCCACCAATGTTCAAAGATCCTCATGTATTTCCATAAAGCCTATTGCTGCGCCTGAGCATCTACAGACTGGGGCCTATTCAAAACTTGCAACAGAAAAATAAAAAGTACATTTTTGAACCACCAGAGAACTATCATTTGAACAAAGCTCTTCCTGGGCTTCCTTCTTCCCAAATTAGGGTCTGAGAGTCTTCTGCCAGGAGTATTCAAATAATTTAGTCCTTGGCTGGTGGATGATGGGGAAACAGGTTCCATCTTTATCATGGTCCTATTCTTTCTTAGAATTTTGTGGCTCTATGGAAGTTTCACAATCACCTAAGAGGGCCTTGTTCCACAACCTAAGAACCACTGATACAGGAGAAACGTAACATGAGAATATGAGACTGGAACTATTCCTTACCCACAGACGAAAACTGGCATGCAAGTCTTTCAGGATTGTACACTTGCAGGAGCCAAGTGACTCACACAAGAGCATACTCCCCGGGTATTTTGGGGGGCTGTGCTCTCACAGCAGGCAGGTGACTTGCCCAAGAGCACACATACCCCCAAGCAGGCATTTTTGGGGCCTCACTCTGACAGGAGTCAAAACAGGACATCCCAGGATCCAATCAGTAGCTGAGTTTCTGTAATTCCAGCATGTCCCATTCAAATCGGGACAGTTGGTGAGTATGCTATTCTTCTGTTTGAAAATTGTTTTAACTGATTTTAATATTGTGTTTTCACATTGCTGTAAATTTCCCTGGAACCTTACGGTGAATGGCAGGTAAGAAAAACTAAGTAACAATAATTCCTTTGAAATCTAAATTAGAAATCTAAAGAAATCTAAAAATACAGTTCGACAACGTGAAAAGCTTCCAGACTGAACAGGGACAGAGTTAAAACTGGAGTTGCTGCTTCACTTATATAACAAGTAACGTGAGGGAAATAGCAGTCTACCTACTCCTTCCTCTTTTGTATCTAGATGAAAACAGTAATAAAAAAATGTTATTTATATATGTATTACTTTATTAAGTTCAACCTATACAAAATTCCTGTGCCCATTTGCTATTTCTGATTATGTAGCGGACATGAGATTGTCAGGGATGCAATTTTTTAAATGCAAAGCAGAGAAGTCTGGATGATGACTATCCCTATATACACATTGGCCCCATATTTTCCTGGGAGCTAGTAAGGCTGCCAGCACACAAATTATTGCACTCCAAAGCTCTTAGAGTTCCTCATCTCAGATCTTTTCATGCCAGGAATGATGCTAATTGTGATCTCTTTGTTGCAAAACACACAAGCCCTTTGTGGTACAATTCTGTTTAAGCTGTAATCACAATATTAGATTGAGTTTGGTAGATTGATGTCTGGGCCAGTGTCGATGGTGCTAATTCAAATCAGGAAGTGTGGGCAACTAGGGAGACTGCAGAGTGCTAGAGAAATGTTTACTGGAAACGAAAATACACCCAGCATACCCAGCCACCTCAGAATGATAAAGGTCAACCTAAGAATTAGAGAGGAAAAGAAAAGCCTCTTTCACAGAGGAAGAAAACTTTCACAGAGGGCAAGTTTCAGAAAAGCACTAGCTGGATCATCTTCCTGACGTGTTATGCTTCTTAGATTTTCATTAGCAATAGGGAAAGGTTATATCATGACCCTGGAAGGATAGCCTACATTATAATTTCTAAGGAAAGAGTCTGTCTTTTGTTCAGAAATCTTGTCTTTAAAATTCTACTGTTCCAGTCATTCATTCTCCAATTACTTATTAATTTAACTGATAATTTCCTGTGGCTAATCTCATAGACCTGAATCTATTTCAGCCTTCAAAGAAGAATTTAAGCCTTTCTAATATAATTCAGGAGTTCAGACTTGGTTTCAGATATCCCTGTCTTTAGGCTTCACATCCACACCCTGCATTGAAATGAACACAAGCAGCTAGTAGTTTATTGTAGTATTTTTTAAGGCTAAAAGTCCAGGGGAGAATGGGGAAAGGAGTGTAACCAGTGATGTGTGAAAGGGTGCATATTAATTGGCACCTGTAACACAGGAATGGTACAACTCTGACAGCACAGCTGGGGATATGAAATGAATCCATCTTACTTACATTCCGAAGTGGATTCACCTTACCTGATCTGGGTGGACCATGACCCAGATAGAACTGATGGTCCACTTCCAAATTGGCAACATAAGAATATGAGAATGGAACTATTCCTTATCCACAGACGAAAACTGGCATGCATGTCTTTCAGGGTTGTACACTTGCAGGAGGCAAATGACTCACACAAGAGCATACTTCCCGGGTGTTGTGTTCTGCAAATGCTCTGTCTATCTATCACATACCTTTTACCCTTCTCAAAATAGGCCTCCAGCTGCCCACAACCTGGAGTGACTAATGCACGGGGCTCCTTGCCTATAGAGCAGTGTTTCCCAACCTTGGGCCTCCAGCTGTTTTTGAACTACAATTCCCATCATCCCTGACCACTGGTCTTGCTAGCTAGGGATGATGGGAGTTGTAGTCCAAAAACAGCTGGAGGCCCAAGGTTGGGAAACACTGCTATAGAGCATGCATATAGAATGCATATAGAATGCATATGCCTATAGAATGCATATAGAGCAAGTCCCATAGGAAGTGATGGTACTTGATGACATGCTGTCTATATCAAAAGAGTGGAGGACATGGCTGCCCATAGTTTTTATATGTATGTAAATATATATACCTTTCCATTAAGAGTCCCCCTGGAAAATGGGACAGGATGAAAATGGACTGGATTTCAGTGAGTCTGACTGTTGCTAAACACACCACTGTGGCAAAGTTTACCTTGATGTTGCAAACAAAGATGCTAGTATAGATGTTCAAGAGAGGTGTTTAATGAGATCCATTTGTGCATAGATGCACAAATCACATTTTTCCTATATACATACCTTGGAAGTCGAACGGAATCCGTTCCGGAAGTCCGTTTGACTTCCAAAACATTCGGAAACCAAAGTGTGGCTTCTGATTGGTTGCAGGAAGCTCCTGCAGCCAATTGAAACCCACAGAAGCCCCATCGGACATTTGGCTTCCAAAAATAGTTCGCAAACCAGAACACTCATTTCTGGATTTGTGGCGTTCGGGAGCCAAAACGTTCAAGAACTAAGCTGTTCGCAC